ATTAGTAGCCTGAACCAAATATGCTTTATTTTATTTTAAATTTTTTGATAAAATACATAAATAAATGATTACGCCAATTCTTATATTAATTGTAAACATAACGATTTATATATATTAGTTAATTTATTTAATTTATTTTAAATAATTTAATTTTATCAGAGTCGGTTCCATTATGAGAGTCACTCAGAACTGCGGTTCAGAGCCGTTCGATTAGTTCGACTCACTTCGACTCACTTCGACTCGCAGAACCAGAACTGAACTGATAGAGTCATCCCCATCTCTAATAGGATTGCACTTGATAGCAGCAATAGTGAATCAATATTTAACCGATTAACAGTTAAAAATTATAATGACTTAGGCCAGAAAATAGCTATTTTACTAGCATATAATGCATATGTATAAAGACATTTATTTTTTATATTATAACCAATCTAATAAGCTGAGTATACGAAAAAGATTTTCAAGTAAGAGAACTTCATTATATTGATATATCAGCTTCATTTGAATTATCAAACACTTCAATTACTCTTTTTACACTAGTTATGTGGTCAAAATTCTTTCTCTTGAGTAATTTATCATATCAGATAAGCTTGAAATTACCTTAAAAAAGTGGTATTTAATATTTAATCACTACTAAATAATATGAAAATATATGAATTATTAATTAATATTTATTTATTAAACTTAAATTAATATATTAAAGACAATACTTTCTCTGTATGCATTTTATAATCGCAAATCATAAATAGGACAATACTATTTCTTACAGATGATTCTAGTACAGAGAGAAATACTTTATAGCTATATTTGTAAAAGGAGTTCACTTTTCACTAGTCGAAATAAGAAAATTTAGTAATTCGTAAAATCGGTTAACTTCCGATCATACTGACAAGAAATTTCATTATAAAATCGGCCGATATTACAAATCAGCTAAAATCGACAGAAATTAGAATCTAATGTTTTATGGTTGATTGCTAAATACTTAGTTTCAAATTTAATTATTAATATTCGTAAATAAATTATTAAAATTTAAAATTTGTAAAAAAAAAGATTCAATCAATGTTTAATAATATATAAAAGTTCGCAACAATAAAGCTGTACTAAATTTAATGAATATAATATTTTCTGCTAATCGGGTTGATTGCCAAGTATTTTACCGCATTTTGCCGCTTTGAAAATTTATACTTTACTAGAATGAATTGAGCGAGAATATGGTATACTAATATCATACAATTGTGACTTTCAGAATAAAAGTTGGTATGTCATAATTCAATATTACAAGTTTTTTCGTTATCTTCAACACTAAAATAATACCTTATACTTGTCAAATCTGCAGTGCAATACTATCAAATATATGTCAGATAATATTCAGATTGTCTATTAGGTAAATTGACTATATGTGTAAAAAAGTACTATATTTGTTCAAGATAGCAATCGATATCATCATTAATCACAAATTTTGCTAATACATAAGAGTTTTTTATATGTTGTGAAAACAATATCAAATCAAAAACTTCAGAATCAATCTGACACCTTCTAAATCAATTCATTTTGATCCAAATGATTATTACATTTAGTGGCACTTTTCCAAATGGCTTCTGAAATTTAAGTAATTTATAGATTGCTATATAATATTCAACTATTAAATCAAGCATTAAATTTGGAAGCTTAATGTTTTCAGAAGAAGGTTTTAGCATTTCACCTGAAAATAGTTCACTTCCTATAATGACTGATTCTCTTATATCGAAAGAAAATCTATCTGTTTCTGAAATAAACCCAACAGATTGCTGTTAATTTAGTAACTCATATCCTTTCATTTCTATTCCAGAATTCACGGTCTCTCTGATTTTATTGTCAAATATCAGTTTGCGTATAATTTTTGGCTCAATTTGCCAATAACTATTTGGCAAAGCACCTAAAAGAATTAGATAATTAGAATGATAGCTATATAATTTTAAATTTTTCTTACCTAACACACCATTCATACGCTCAAATTAAAAGTATCAAAAGGTATAAAGAGGTTCAAAATTATACGAACATTCATATAAATGTATTAAAAGGTGAAGGTTCAGTATAATCTTATCTCAACTATAATGCCATTCAATTAATTTCACGATTTCAATTATCTTTTGGTAAGCTTCATTTACGAAAACAGTTTCTACAATTCATTTCACCAAAATTGAGTAAATTCTTATAAAATATGTAAGAATCTTTTTATCTATATTGGAAAAATACTCCCAAAATGATACAGTGGTATAAATAGTGAAGAATATTCACCACTGATCAGTTGTGAAATTTGAGAAACCTACATCACAATCAATTTTTTCAGAAATACAACATACATCAGCCAGCACTTGGAATTTGTTCATTTTATTTAAGACTTTTTTCAATATATTTGATGTTAAAATACCTTCTTCAATCTATATCTGTTTTACTATCCATCTTGCAATGTCTAAGAATAGACAATATATTGGATTGATAGTTATAACCCTAATTGGATTAAAATATGGCAGGTATAGTAATTCAGATCATCTAACTCCAGTTAGCTTTACAAATTGTTTTCTTACTATGTCTGAATTCTAGCGTCTCTATCCTAAAGCATTCTGCCGATGTTTGGTCGAATTTTGGAAAGTCGAATTTTGGGAAATAAACCATTTATTCATGCTATTCATTCCAGCAAAATTATGTTAGTTATTCTCATAATTGGCACATTTTTCATACTGATAACATAAAACATGTGTCGAGATATGCTTACAAATCTTCCTTGTAGTAGGAATGTCACATAAAATGAGAATCAGAGTAGCTTTAATGTTTCTTCCTTCTTGATGCTTGAATGTATGATTTAGAGTGACTCCAATCCAAAGCAACTCTAAATCAGCAACAATAGTTATAAATAGTGATTTTTTTTTGTGTAAATTTACTTTATTTGGTCTAGATAATAAGACAAGAATAAGTAAATTTTCTCATCAAAATCAAATATCTCTTGGCAAATTGCATATTGCAGTGTATAATACACTGGTGCTATGCAATGTTCCATCATAGGGTTGGACTCAGTCAAGATTCAATATCAAGCCAAGATGTGAATCAGCAACTTCTTCTCAAAAAAAATTTGGTAAATCATCTTTACTTGTTTCTTTGAATGTTTGCCAAACTTGTTCGTCCTATATGTTAGCTAATATTGAAGTGATTTTTTGAAGCTAGACTGATGATATAAGGCTTCCAATTATTGACAAACTCAAATAAATGGATAAATTAGATTTGGGATATTTGTAATTTGACCACTTAATAATTTTTTTTGTTTAGATAAGACTGTTTGTCACAATTTTGACCTACATGTTGCTGATTTGGGAAATTCAATATAGTATAGTTACATTTCATGATAGATGGAACATTATTTTTCTGAAATTCAGTAACTTCTTATTATCATATAACTTGTGGCATTTCGAACATATCACAAATTTATGAAAGCTATTTTATAAGCCAAGTATTTTTCTTACCAAATAAAGTAAATTAGGAAAAGTATTGAATTCAGGACTGCCAGCTTCTTCAAATATAAGCTTAATGAATTTTATAAGTGACCCTGTAACCATTTCTGATAAATTGAACCTTACACGAAAGTTTATTATTATCCATATTAATATTTATAAAAATCTATCATTATTTTTCGATTGTGTGTTATTTAGCCCTTGAAATGATGTAAACGAAGGACATGAATAGTCTTCAAATGTTTTAGCAATATAGTTATTATTTAATTCATTATTACTTAGAAAAGGTTCATTTTCATCTGTCTCATTTACTTCTGAATCCTTATAATTGAAGTCTTCAGCAGAAAGTTCGATGTTTCAATTTGCATATCTTGTATATTTTACACATTTTCAAGGTATAGGATCGATGTTTGCATTTGTTGGTTCTCTTCTTTATGAGCATCTTCGTTTACTGTTTGTTTCATATATTGCTGAATTTCTTGTTGTTTGGTTATGATATCTGACAATGTCAATTGCAAATTATCTGATTCTTCTTGAATTAAAACATCTTGAGTATTAGACAAATATCTAAAGAATTATCTAGCATTTCTAATAAAGGATGTATCTGATCTTCTGATGGCTTATTAATCATGAGATATTTATGTCTTTACTTTGTACGTTGATCAACTAATATACCATTGCATCAACTACAATAACATATTTCTTTTGATCTTTTTCTATGATAATTTGAATTTGGTTGTGAATGATTATTGTAAGAATTTGTTCTTGTTCAAGGTATTTTATAAAGTTAAAGGATGAACTTTAATTTATTTGATCAAGTTATAATTTATTAATTTTGCATATATATAGAAAAAAAAATATATCAACATGCATATAAAATAGATTATTTTCCTTTATACTATTATTATATTAAAAGTTTATTTTATTATTCAATGGAAAGTTTATTGAAAGTTTATTTTAAATCATATAAAAGATAGTCTTTTTCCAAATTACTGTTTTCTTATTCTCTTGTTCTTGTTAAATTAATTATAACATAGGTACATAATGACTTGTTCTAGAAAGCAACCACAAAATAATAAACATTCAGAAAATACTCAATGTCATTCTCGCATAGCAACACCTGTTTTACCAGAAAAGAATGACAACTCTCCTCAATGTCAATGAGCGAACAATAAATATCCAAAAATACTTCACATTGTTCTCACATAACAATACCTGTTTTACCAGAAGAGAATGACAACTCTTCTTAACGTCAAATAACGAGATTGAGTGCTAAAAATTACAATTTAATGAACAATCAATTAAAGAGAAAGGAAGCTATCTGAAACCTTCAAGAAAAAGTATCTAGTATTCAGATACCAAACTATATTGAAATCGTAGATAATCAAGATGATGAACCCATATTAAATACTTGTATTACAATCAGCTTTGGTAACAAGCTTATTGAAGGTCAATCTAATTTACTAATATGATTATCACTAATTTAATCTACTAATAATATAATACTTTATTTTTTACACATACTGAATTCTGTTGATTTTTTAATTTTACCTAAAGAATGAAAAGTTAAGAAAAGAAATCAATCCTTGGAAAGAACAAGCTTGATTCTGGCAGAATCAATATGATAATTCTTTTAGGTAAGTTGAAAAAATTATAGAGGATATGAAACGCTTTGAAGCGGAGAACGATGCATTAATTTTTGTAAATAAAGAACTAGGAGGAATTAATGATGATTGAAGACAGAACTTAAGCAATCTAAGTTGCTTTACTAATCATCCTGTCAAACATCGCAATCAACAGTTTTGACAGATGATGATACGATGTCGAATTCTAATAATAAAGCGGTTTCTCAACCAAAAAAAAGATAAAGGTTATATTACAGCTAATTTCATAATTCGTGGATCACTAATAAATTGCGACTGAATGCGACTGAAAATATTTTATAATAAAATTACTATAAAATATTGCGACTGAATGCGACTGAAAAATTATTAATGGTCCATGAATTATGAAATTAGCTGTAAAATCGAAGGGCAAAGTCAAAAAAAACACATGTTGAACCCCAAGAATCAGATGATAAAGCAGCAAGGGTTTGCAAATTCGTTCCTTTTAATATATTATAATGAATTTTATCTAATATATTTACTAATTTCTTCTTGTATTAGACCGAGATAAAAGAAATATTAAAAACATTATTGTTAGAATATGAAATGAGATACAATAAAGTTTTTAACAGCGAGATAATAAGAAAATCCAGAATAATTAGTCTCAGAACTCTTGAGATTATTATGGTCAGATTATAACCTTTCATACCTCAAATTAAAAAGTGGCTTCATGTTTTACATAAATACCGAAGAGATAGCTATTTGTTGGCACATAAAGGAGCTCAAAATCAGACAAAAAACAGGTATACATACAACAATAATCAAATATCAGAGATATGAAATTCACTTACTTTTTATTTCGTTAATAATTTTTAATATTCATTTTTTTATATATTTAGAAAAGAGATCAATGAATAAGAGGAGCAGAAAGTTTATTTAACGAGAGAACAATCTGAGTCTCAAAATACAACCAGGAAAAGATTATGAGAATGCTTAAGAATACTGCTTATCATTCTTCTGAACTATCTAAAACTGATTCAGATAAAAATGAAAGACGTAAGATAATTATATACGATTATTCCTAGTATTCAATGAGGTTCATTAAACATTTTATAATATTATATATTTGTTATTCTAAATACTAACTTTTTCTTTTATAAATGTAATTAAAGAATCTCTTATGTGATATTTTCTAAAAATAAGCATTATCCCAATAATCATTCCAGTAGTTGAGAACTCAGCTTTATGATGATTTTCACTCCTACAAAGAACAATCATCACCAAAAAATGTGCTGAGTTGGGCTTCAAACGAGAAAAACAATCAGATTCCAATAGAAGGTACATAATATCAAAAAGTAATTTTTAATCTGATTGCTTTAGAAAATTTGAAATTAAGGTTTTTTTAATCAACAATAGCATAGATAAAATTTAAGTACCCAGCAATTCACTAGTCGAAATAATTTTTTTTTATTAATGATGCAGTCTAGCTGCAGTACTTTATTTTGTATTGAAAATTTGAAGGCAAAACCTAAAAAAATACTAAAATACACGACTTACCTCCAGTGATTCTATTTCAAACTCATTTGAGTCAACTGATCACCGCCACCCCTGAAGGGGTTGGAAATAAAGTGTTAGAAAGTAACTAATTTCTAAATGTCTGTCGAACCCTAACTTCCCTCAAAAGAAAATTCTAACACTAAAAACAACACCTGAAGTAGGGAATTGGCACAAATAAAAATTTTCAAACAAACAAAAAATAAAATAACTTTATAAGTCCTAGTTAAAGTCCAGTCAATTCCAGCTTAAAGCAACCACCCGGCAGAAGAAAGTGCGTCCAAGTAACTTTGTCCAAACAAAGGCTCTTCATACTTATAAATTCATAAGTACAGAAAAAATATTATGAGGAATCCACTACGAAATTAAACTATATCCACAGAAGTTCAGCAAGGAAGGATCTAAGGGTGAAATCATTTTAGATTACTATTAACCGAACCAAGGCAGCCAGCCAAGGCAAGAAAAGAATTAATGGTTTTTCAGACGCCAACCAAAATAAGGAATTAGGATCATTCTGAAAGCAAACTTTACCACACCATGTAAAATAATGTCACTAAATTTGCACGTAATCTTTGATGACAAAGGATCTGCAAAAAGACAAAAGCCAATCAAAAGAGAGTGTATTGTTTAGAAAGAGAAAGGAGATTATCACGTGAGATTTGTTTATCCAAAGTATGTCGATTATGATCATCAGTTCGAATACCCCCTAATGCCCACATTTTGTAGGCAAAAAAGAAAAAGAGAAAAAAACGGAAAAATTTTTTAGAAAAGAGGTGAAGAAAAAATATTTTAACAAAAAACAACACGGTTTAGTCTATTTCGAAAATATTTATGTGGAGAGGAGTGTGGAAAACAAAAAGAGGAATATTTTTGAAAGGTGGGGTTTTTTGTTTTATTCGCAGGCTAAGTTGCGGCTGCCATTGAACAGACACTTTTTTAAAGTAAAAATTCTTGGAAAAAATCCAACAAGGAGAAAAAGTTCAATCCTTTCTACTCACTAGTTGAAATAATCCATTTCATCACTTTTTTAAAGTGCCGAATGTTGGCCAAAATATAATCTAATTTCTGCCAATCATTGTCAAAATAATTGAAATTTTGTTATAGCCGATGTTGCCCAATTCAGGTGCCACACAAAAAAACATTCGACATTAATTATTGGTAGTTATTTGATATATCACTAGGCAAAA